CTCCGCATCACCACCACCTTCGAGGGGTATCCATCTCTGCCCTTATGGTTTCTGCCATGAGACAAACTGCGTTCGATCTGCGCAGGTCGCGCTCCGGACTAGCTTGCGGATCCAGAACACTGTTGGCAACAAAGTACAACTCCGGCGTTCCTCCTCCTGCCCTGCTCGGCTATGCATCTCCGTCACCTCCAACTCTCTCTGGCTACACGAACCCTAGTAGTTGCTCTGCTTCAGGCAATTCTTGGTTAAGCTTGACCGGCTGAACTACTGCTTCTCTGTCTGATTCTGAGTGTACCATTTTTTCTAACACTCCCGCTAAGCTTTATTTATGCCACCGCAATGTTTACAGCAACGAAAAGAAGACCATGCAAAACTTTACCTTCAAGTTGGTGTCTGCACCCATGGACCCACTTCTTTTGGGCCGCAAACTCTCGCTACACTCCTCGCGTCCTGACGAGATGGCTGACGCTTTCCGCAAAGAATTCTGTGATCCCTACCATAAAAAAAAAGAGAAAAGTCTAAAATAAACCTTGAATTTCTATGTCAAGTCTGAATCAAAGCTTGTACTCTTAATCCCTGAAATCAACACCCTGATTTTATTGATCCCGGTTAATTCTGACCCAATTTTTGTTTGGCGCAACAGGAAAACATCTAATCCAGGTCAGGATCACTTACTACTCTCGCTGACCACACTGGCCCACTTGTTATATAATACTACGTCTCTGGTCAATAGTCATTTGCCCAAAAATATCTGTAGCTAGTCATTCTCTCTCTCTCTCGTCTACACTACAGTTGCATCATCTTCCTGGGGGGGGCACGCAGATGCGAACATCCAGACCGGACCCTCCACTCACTGGAGTAGCAATTGAGGATGCTGGGAAAATCAAAAGGAAGCACGAATTACCACGAACCTAATATTGTGGTAGGAATTCCGGTGAAGATGGCTAGCGGCGAAAGTTTATGGTAGCGAGACGCTTCAGTTGAGGATGGTCGAAATTGATTGAGCGTCAAGCCGTCGGCAGAATTGGACTAAGAGAGTCTCCAAATGCGCGCGAAATATTGGACGCGCCGGATAAACCGCCAATTTGGCGCGCTCCAGCAGAAGCGCGAAAGTTTGAGCGTGAAAAAGATGTGCA